TAAGCCCATTCTTTGAATGCTGCCCCACAAACCTCTGCCTTATTTCCCCACAGAAATTTCACTATTTCCCTAGTAACAGCTCATTTGAAGAACTGACTTTGAAATTTGTGAGTCTTCAACAGTTGTTGCTATATTATATTCAAATATCCCAGAGAGATGAGAGGAAGTACTCAATAGGAAAAAACACAGTATTCTTTGGCTTACTATTGTTATGTAAATAAGGCAGGAAAAGGGCCTGCCATAAATGATCATTAATGGCATATAGTGCATTGTTCAGCTTTCTGCAGCTAGCTTTATCTAAGACGAGGAGTGATGTCCCCACTCACACACAGAGTAGAACTGCTCTTTCTAATAAACTGCAATATGAGATCGACCAGTTAATTATAGTAAATGTAAAACAAGCTTGATAAATTTCCAGTGAGGGGACGAGAAACTGCTAGTTTGAAATACAACTTTATTTTTTTAATCAATATGCAATCTACAAAATGTTATTACAAGATTATCAGTATGATCTGTTTATACTTATACTGACAAAAGACCCAAATAAAATTATATTTTCTATTAAGAATAACAGCACTGCTTCAGAGTTATCAAAATTATAGCTAAGAACTACTAACTGCAACAGTTAGTTACTGTGTTTAGTCAACAACAAGACAAATAAATGTAAAATAGAGGTCTGGACACTAATACTGCAGCTAAGAAGTCCATCAAGTAAAATAAATGCAACTAAAAGCAACATGTGAAAACACGTTTTCAGATGTAAAGAACTTTTGGACAATTAATACGAATCTAGAGGAATAAAAATCAAGGAGAATAATGATGGCAGTGGCTTGGCATCATGTTCAATGGAGTGCACCATCATCCTCATTTCTCAAGATCTGATACACAGGGGCAGCCAGACCATCGTTCCCACTCATCGCAAAGCTTCAGCTTTCACACCCAATAATACCTCTTTTCCTCTCTTTTGTGCTCTTTTCTGGTTGGAATAGGCAAGCATTGCAGGTTGCTTACCTACTAGCATCAAGAATGTTCTACAGTGGAGTTTTTTTCTGCCCATTACCACTATTCCTTTCTTCTTTTTTTTTTTTTGCCTCTCGTTTATTCTTAGAGACTTTGATGCAGATTCCATTTTGTCAGTTAAAAGACTTCCATTGACTTCAATGGGTGTTTGAATCCAGAATTATAACAAGTACCATTTACCTACAGTAATACAATTAGTATGAGAAAGATGAATGTAAAGATAAAATTTGTTGGTTTCAGCAAATCTGACACTTTGAAAATAAGGCAAACACTATAAAAATAGCTGTTCTCATTGATTGCTGTTTAAAATGTAAAATATCCCAAACCCTGTCAGTCCTTTGTGAAGGAAACACAGATAATATCTAAATACTGCCCTGTAGTAAATGTCTAGTGAAGTGTCAGCATCTTAAGGGACCCAAAGAGTTGGAAGCATTTCAGTGACTGCAGGTGCTAGCTGTGGGAAGCAAAGATCAGATACATGGGAAACCTGTTTCCTCACAGGATGCCAGTGTACCTCATCGGTTATTTAAAGCTCCAAACCTTCAGCTAGCTGGACACTGAGCATCACAACAGCTTATAGCAACTGTTCCTCATCTCCATTCCCCTCCCAAAATTAGTTAGACTACTTACGGCCCAGATTTCTAAAGAATCAAAGCCAGTATGTGTACTCATTGTCATCTGCTGTAATATTAATCAAAAATATTAGCAAATGAGTCTTAAACATTAAGAATATCTGTTCAGTAGGTTATACTCAAGGACATCCAAAAATGCAGAAGAAATGGGAAACCAGGGTGTTTCTGCTTTGGCATGTTACAATAGAAAGAATGTGATGGGGGGCAAAAAAGTCAGGCTACCCAAACTTTCACTAAACTGCAACCTATGTTTAAATATTCTGACAGCAAGGCATACAAACATCAATTTGACACTGAACAGGGTAATTATTCAGCCTTAGGCTGCACTAATTGTCAAGTTTAAACTGAAAGCCACGCAGTAAACAGAGTAACTTTATTTCAGTGTGGCAATATTTCTGTGGAATTAATTCCCTGTGATCCTGATCCAATTCCGATTAAAGTTAATGGTGAGTCTTGCAGGCCTCAGATGGAAATCTAAGGGTGTGCAACATAGATAAAGCTGTAGCTTGACCTTCTTTTGTTAATGAGTTCAGTAAGGCTGAAAGATCATTTGCACCATACCAGATACAATCCAGGCTCACTAGCAGGAAAAATGACTTGCAATGTGGCTGTTCATCACTTCAGCCATTCAAAACAGTAGCTCATATCTTGATGGGCCAACACTACACGGGCTTCTTAAACACATCCTGAGATACAGCAGACACCTGACCATTGCTTCTGCAGGACTTGTAACACCACCAGGTACCAAATGTCCAGGAGATGAGTGCTGCAAATGGGGAACCTAAGGTGAAAGAGTCCCAGAACAGCCTGGCTGTCCCTCCTTCTTAAATAGAGAAAAACAGGGGCCAGTTGGGCAAGACAGGCTTTCGGCAGTAACCACTGCTAACAGATTTACTGAATTGGCTGTATTAATGCCAACCAAAATAAGTCGGCCTCAGACAAAGGTTAGTGCAGGTATCTGCAACATATATTTTGCTTCCTCTACCTTACTGAGCAAAGAGGTTAATAGATATTGAAGCTCTAGTATAACCATGGACTTCAGTGAACTCCAGAGCTCTGCTGTGATGCTAAGTATAATCACTTTGCCCTAACGCACACTGTGCCCCTTAGTTCAGCTGAGAAGTATATAAAACAAAATTAAATATAAATAAAACAAACCAAACTTGACTTTAAGGTGCTAATGGCTTCTCAAGTCAAAACAGTGATGGAAGATGCAACAGCTGAGACATATTTGGATCACTACTACACTCAAATGCTTGCTTAGATTTATAATAATATAATCTGCTAATAAAAAGGGATATATAGAGAAGCCAAAATACCATAATAGTCTATTTGGGGCTTTGGCAACACAATACCCATAAAAAACCTGCCCTCAGGACCTACTATAGAATCTATTACCCATTTCATTCCCAGCTTCCAAATGGGGGGAAAAGTTTATTGTGATGAACTAGGTTCACATTATGGCCTTCTGTTTCCTCAGACTGGTAATTTTCTCAGTGCATATCCCACATATTTCTACTTTTGGGGAATAACATTTATCTGTATTTTTACACAGTGTTCATATAAACAGTTACAAGCTGTGACAAAATATAAAGTGAGACTTAGTGCATTACTATATTTTTGTTCTCCAGTAATTTCAGTTTGAAGTAAGGATAATTTTAGGAAAACTGCAGGAGGAAAAAAAAAAAAAAAAAAAAATGCAGAAAATCACAAACAGGATAATGGCTGAGGGGAAGCATTAAAACGTTTCCCTAAATGCCAATGGTTTGTTGAAAACATAGTTAACACACTGATACGGGATTAACAGCTCCAGCTGCCTGCTGAAGCATCACAGCTTCACTTCTCTTGTGATAGTCCGTTCCTGCATTGTTTCCCCACAGAAAACGCCTTTAGAACCAGTAGCATGAAAACATCTTCCTTCCCAGGCATGGAAAGATTGTCTTAAAAGTTACTCAAAGCAACAACTCCTGCAGTTTCCTAACCAACATCTGGAACTTGCATCCTAAAGGAGACCCAGAGCAAATGGCAGCAACCAGCCACTTATTCAGTCTGTGGGAAAAACCCTCTACTGGTGCAAATTCTCAAAGCTTCATCCAATGAAATGGGCCTGGACTGATTTACGCTTGCTGAGGATCTGCCCCTTGTCTCACTTGCTGCAGTAGTGAAAAAGATTTGTCTAACGCTGGCACAGAAATTTCAAACACATCTGCCATATGTTTTTTTGCCCAAGAGGTTACTTTGAGTGAACCTATAAAGTGCTGGGGAGGAAACACTCACAGCCACAGAAAAATGAAGAATATTATTGCAGAGGAACTTTTCCCATTTTACCAATGAAATCACCCAGTTTCCAACTCATTAATTGAGGCTCTTGTCAAGAATAATATTACAACTTGCTCTGTTCACGTATATCGAGGGGAGCAGAAACATGAGGGACTTAAGTTTTCAAACACCACTAAAAAATGTAATTGGTCCTGCTGGACCTTACACAGATGCTGGTCTTCACATAAGCACTCTGGCAGTTTTTATTGCTGAATATTATATGTCCAAGCGACATGAACTCTTTGAGTAATGCCATTAAGTTTCAATATGGAGTATGAGATCATTCCTAAGTCATAGATACACAACAGGAAAATAATATATTACAGTCAATTAAGTGCTCACATCCTGTAACTCTTTATAAGGAGACCTTACTCATACCAGTATTCCCATGACAGGAAGTTTACTTGAATGCAGGCCAGTCAAACTGAGTAATGATTTTCAGAATCAAACTCAAAAAGCACTAAAAAAAAGAAAAATTCAATTACCATGTTTATCCTAAACTAGGTCACTGCGCTTCTTCTAACAATAGAATTTCCTATGTAAATTGATTCCTACTAATATCATATGACAGTGCCTCCTGTCCTCTTTTACTGCATTAGGCAATTGCCAGCCTTATCTGGATCTTCTCCATCAAGCCTAATCCACTTCTTTTCAATTTCAACCTGTAGTTAGAAAACAAAAAAGCAGGTAGAATTAGCAAATAATTGGGCAGTGAAAGTGTGAACTGCAGCAATGGCACAAATAAAATCTTTGAGACAGAATCAAAACATTTCCAGACCCAACAGATTTCAAAACCTCTAGTCCCAAAAATAGCTCAACTAACAACACTGCATTTGCAGTTCTGTTTTTCGGCATCATCTTTGATCAGAAAAGGAATTATTTTTTAATGACTCTTTTGCTCAAAGTTGTTATCACAAGTACATGCAAGCTACATTTGGAATACAAAGCACGTTCACTTTGCAAATACTGTATGAGGGAGTGGGGAGGAAGGAGAGGAGGAAAACACTGAAAATATAGCCCTGAAAATACCTGGCAGTTGTAAAAAGCTTTCTGAACCACATGTTTCTGAGGCTGCAGATCGCTCTCTATGCCCAGAGACTTGACTTCTGTTCCTGAGGCACAGGTATCATGAACGACAAACTGGACGGTAGCAAATGGATACCAGTCAGATGGTATTTCCTGGTCTGATCCAAGTTCCAGTTTGTAAGACAGGCTGTGTGGATGATCTGAACCTTGGAAAAGAAAAAAAGCAAACCACACCATCAGTTAATTATCTTTTCTTTGTTTACAGTACGAGATTAATCTGCTAGCAAGAGAGCACAACTCTATCTTTTATTAATGCAGATCTGTTGTTATGATACAAGATTATCATGTCTATAATCTTTTGCTACTTGGGCATAAGGTGGCCCCTTACTCATTTTTTGTCTGCTTCAGGACACGTTTCACAATCATTGTGGTTTTACAAATTAATTTACACAAGATTTACCAGATCCTTCCAGCTTTTGATTGAGAGAAGAGTATTACAAACTTGGGGAGTGGTTGCTAAATTCAGACTATTAGGGAAGAATCTCAGTTTTCTCTTAAAAATACATTTCTTATTCTCATAGAAAAATAAAAAGATAAAAGCCCCATCTCAGCCAAGGCAGAGATGCTGTCCTGTGTCCAACAACCATCCTTTCCAAAGATATCTGCTGTAGGAATTTTACTGGAGTGTTTATTTCAAGTACTACAGCTATCTTGTGTAACATCATTTATTACAGTATGTCTATGGCAGGAAGATAAAGGCACAGCTCAGAGTGATGCTCAAACAAGATAATCCCAGCTGCCAGGATAAGGGCTACCTGGACTCCCTTTCTAGCTTGGTTTGTTATGGGTAAAGAACATACCCCATTTCTTCCAAACAAAACTATTACTGAAGTAACTGTCATTATAAAGTAGAGTCATGAAGGACTGCCTATGTAGTGCAGGATATTCTGAATTACTTTAAACCAGCCTTAGATCCTAGGGATCACTTGCTTTAGCCTTTTTTATATGTGGCAATGGTTGAAGGAAAGCATTTCTCCTTCTCCTGGCACCCAGGAACACCAGGATGAAAAGCCTGCTTTCCAAAGAAACCAAGGTCAGCAGGCTCACTATGTGCACGAAAGCAGTATAATGTAAAATAATGAAAAGAATCCTTTAAATCACAGCTGTCTCTCCAAATTCTTCAGGGCAAAAAGTAGTAATACTGTGTTTCTTCTCCTCTCCAGGATTTTAAGCATCGGCATAGACAACTAACTACCATTTGGCTGCAGGCAGAGGAAAAAAAAATAAAGCAGAGAAATTGGCTGTATTTTGTCAAAGGCATGTCTGGCAGTGTAAATTTGGTTTTCATCCATTACACTGAATGGCATCTCAAAGTTCAGGCAAAAATTCTTTATGCACTGGCTTTCTCCAGTGGCAGGAATCAATTTCATATCAGAATGAAGGAAATACTGAAGATGGAGATAACATACACTGAGCTTTATCTGTCCTGTGGGAAAAAACACTATAGCACTTCACATTCACAGGCTTACGGGCATTTTACAAGGCAAAAATAAATTTTAAAAGCTACATCTCTGCTGCTCCTGGCAGCCTTGGGGTGGGTGCATCCTCTGGTCTGTGCTGCAGGTTTTCCCTGCAACCTGCCTCACAGTCTACCCAAGCCAGTTCTGATTTTAGGAGATAATTTACATTTGAGCAGTTTGATGGGAAGAGTTCTGTCACACGTGTCTCCGACTTCACCAGAACAAAGTCTAATTCAATAAACCTTCCTCCAGATTTCATTCCAAATTCAGCATAAAGTCAGTGGGTCCCAAAAACAAGGCTTAAAGAGCATGAAATTCATGCTTGCCTTAGTCATACTCACTATAACATTTCACTTTTTTTTTTTTTTACTTTTGACTAATTATATAATTAGTATAATGAATAATTCCCTCCCTTCTCCTTGCTGTTACACTTAACAGCACAGTTAAAACTTCACTGCTTGGAAAAAAAGGTGAGGGAAGGGGAGAAAGGAATAGGAAATGTCCTGTGGATTATCAGCCCCTAAACTTCAGAAGGGGAGGTCTCCAACTCTTTTTCTCCTCCCTTCTTTTTTCCATGTTTAATAACAGCAACAATAATCAGTAGCTTAAAAAGCTGTCTGCTGTCTGCAAGTCTTCCTCTCTCTGTGCGGCTGACCCCAAAGGCACTCACACAGAAACACAGCCACCACTTCGGGTAAGGGGCATGTCACCAGACAAGTGCAGTCCTTCACCATCTGGACTCTGTACATGGCTGATTTACAAGCATCCCCTGCAGGCTTGCTTCCAGCAGTACATCTCATTCAATCTTTATCCTAAATGCAGCTTCTTTTACATAACTACTTATAACGTTGAGAGAAAACCTGACCTGGATTTCAGAAAACAATGCTATATACACCAGCTAGAATCCTGCACCATGGAAGAGTATCAAACACTGGCCATGAAGTCTCCCAGGCCTCTTTAAAGAAATGTGTATCACAATGGAGAGCCAGCAACCACTCCCCACAGGGGATTAGCTCCTTCTTTCTACCAAAGCACGGCTCTAATACATGCTCATAAGGAACTGCTTACAGAAATTGTAGGAAGAGGTAATACAACTTGCAAGGGCAGATCCATAAAAGCAACTGGTATGATCACTGCAACAAAAAACGTGTAGGTCCTGAGTTTTGGGAATGAAGCTCCCCTAAATGTGTCTAGTACAATAGCACTTTTAAAGTGAGTGGGAAGAAGTAGTTGCCCAGCAATGGCCATCACCAAAGCCAGCACAGAGGGAGGGAGACCAAACTGAGCATGACAGGCTGGAGAGACTGGATAGAAAGACTTCAACCTTCCTTGCAGACATCGCAATCCACCTGCTGCACCAGTCAGAGCACAATGCTTTACAACCCTCACACGCTTAAAAAATTATGACCACCACCAAACCATGGCCCATGACCAAAAGCAGCAGTGCTGTCACCTCCTTTTTATGTAATAGCATACTGCTTAGTTCACTTGCACATGAATCGGGCTTAAGAGTCACTCACGAAGCTACACAGTAAGGCTGGTAGGGGGGTGGAGTAGGAGGTACTGACTGATTTGTGCTAAATTGGTGCTCCCAGCGTGTGCGAGACATTACCTCTGAGCACACTACAGGACAAGGTCCTTCAAGGCACTACTGCACAAAGATACCCAGTTTGTAAGCCTGTAAAGGTCTTAGGCAAAGGATTGCAATGCCAGGGGCACACAGCGTGTGGCTAAAGTCTCAGGACAATAAGACAATACACAGAGACGGGTAAAAGTGTAACATTAGGTGCTTTATTACTGAAACAGAGGAGGGAACAAAGTCAGAAACAAGTGCTGGAGCCACCTGTCAGCTCCTTGAGAATGAAGCTGGAGCACTAAACAAGTGTGAGGAGATGGCACTTCATCACTCACGTACATAGTGACAGGCAGATCTGTATACTTCTGTGATGTGGGCCTTGTCCATGATCTGCTGCTGGTCATCTCTTGCTGTGTCCAAGCCTATTTCTCCTGCACTAACACTCTCTTGGTCCACAGTCCCTCTTCCAGACTGCTTATGCAACAGCTGTGGTGACAGCAGCACCAGTGGTGAAGGAGGCTGTAAGAAGCACCCCATTCCAGAGCCAAACTGTGAGATGTCATCACATCTGTGGCACAGCAACCCACCTGAACTGTGTTCCTCTTGGCCCCCAGGACCTGCTCCACTCCCCCGTGGTGGTGTCAGGATGCAGCCTGGCAACACACTTACTTGACCCTGTCTTTGTGCTGTTTGCTAAGTTGGGATGTGCAGACTGCACAACATCAGCCACAAGTGAAGTGTCCTGGAGAAAACAGGGGCTGCAACACTAAGATGGTGTGTCACGCCTTGTCCAGAAAAGTGGTGATCTCTGCCTCTGGGGCTATAGTTGACCAAGAATCTGAGGAGAAATGGTTTGTCAAAGAGCAGTAGCAGCTTGTTTGGAGTCCAGTTGCAGTAGAAGGAAAACAGTGTAGATCTAAAGGCTTTTGGAGATCAGATTCACCATCTTCCTGTTGTGGAAGGGAGGCCTATGAAGAAACAAGTAGCAATGGGAACTGTCTGGGAAATTATTTTGTCTTCTGAGAAAGGGAATTCAGAAATAACCACTGCTTGAAATCTTCCTGGGCAGGCATCTGATGGTCAGTGTTGGATGACAGATGTCCATTTGAGCCCAGGTGTAAATGGGCTGTTCCTCTTGGTCTGCTGCTAAAAGCTCCCCTGTTAGACATGGCACAGTTGTGACTCAGTGTCATACAGCCCTTAAAAAAATCCCTGGTCTTATATTCCAGCTAACCCACACCCATGAGTTGGTCTCAGTGTTGGGATCCAGTAAGTTCTGGGGTCCTTCCTTTCCCCTAGGTAGTAACCTGCAAAAGGCAGAGATGGTAGTGTTAGGATCTGGGTAAGGCTACTGTCCTGAGTCCTCTGGAGCAGCCTCCACTGGACTTTTTTGCCTACTCCTAAAACACAGGGTTCCCCCCAACCCATCTGTCTGCTGTACCAACATCAATGTCAGAAGGAGGTACTCACCACTTGTGGAGAAGTTCTTCTGCCCACTGTTGGGCTGTGCTAGGAGCATAAAGCAACTTCTTCCCATCATCTGTCAGACAACAAAGTGATCAACCAAGGCTTTGGAAGACTCTGGGCAGGGCCTTAGAGTTCACCTAAACCTGGCCAGTCCTCGTCATCTCTGCTCTGTGAAACTATTGCTTCCCAGGCCTTGTATTACACAACTGGAGTTAGAAGAAGAAAGAGAAGCTTCATGTACAAGATCCCTTTCAAAAGAAACTGTAATGCTGAAAGCAAGACGTTGGCCAGAAACAGAGTAGAGGTAGTGCTGTGGAAAGAAAAATGGGTTGGAGCAGGCACAGTGTAAGTTTGTACACCAAGCTAAGACAATGTATTCACAAAATGTGACCCATCAGGCATCGTGGAGACATAACCACCTGGACTGATGAAATCAAATCACTCCTGAAAGGCAACCAAATAATTTGGGGGGATAACTGAGATTTTACTAGCTAACTTAGGAGACTGAAACCCTGCAGTTTAGGTGTCTAGGCAACTTGTTAAGACTTTTGTGAATTGAAAGACCTAAGCCTTTCCTGATTTACGTCTGAAAATCTGGCTCTCATTTCCTAAAAAAGTTCTCTTCCTCTGGAGAATAACAACAAGAAAGCCAAAGCAAACTAATGGAAAGTTCACTAAAACTATGAAATTAGATTCAAATTGTCATTTAGCACTTCAAAACCAATTAATAATCTAAATTCACTACATCTACTCACACTATTTAGCCCTTATTCACCTGTATGAACAGCATTCAAGCAACACTGATCTGAAAAAGGCTTATGAAGCCAAGAAATTTAGACTGAAAAATGTGCTAGTTATTTTACTTAAGTAGTAATTCTACTTTTGCCAAAATCAGTCCAGTTCTAAAAGTCTTATTCTGAACATGAAATCATCAACAATTACTAAGAACAGATTGATATTAGGGATGTTAGAAATTAATTCCTGCAGCGATATCTAAATGGGTGCATTTATCCAGGCTTCTGGGAGAAATGCCTAGGATATAGGTGAGTGGGAAAGCACCACCACCAAGGAGCAGATTGCAGTGGTGCTGGTGTCAGGAGGTGGCAGGGCAGGGATAGAGCCCACCTGACAAAGTCATGGCTTGGGGTTTCCACCTAGGCAGTTTAGAAAATAAGAAAAGCAGCAGCTGAAGGTTGCTGGGAACCACACCACCTCTCACACTGGAGTCCATGCTCAGATGCTAAAAGGCAGTAGCAGGGCTGCCAGCAGCCACAAGCTCCCACAGCTCCATTTCTCTGTGTTGCTTAATCACTGCTTCATCAGTGTGGCTCCATGATGCAGAAGAAGAAATAATCAGCTGAAGAATTGTTGCTTTACACAATGGCCCATGGGTGGAGGTGTCCTAGCAGGGAACACCACAGGGCACAGATGTACACAGTAAGAGATTAAAACACAGCATTTCAAAGCCTAGTCCCTCCCAGCTCTCTGGGCAACGCAGGTGCATACAGCTTCTCCAGTTCAAAGACTGGCCCCAGTACTGTGCTGAAATCATAACATGTTCTACATTTCCTTATCCAATGCTCCAGTTTCACCAATGTAGACTCAAATTGCAGAAATGTAATTGAATCAACCCTTCAAAGTCTATGATTTTACAACTTTAAAAAAAATAAAAATAAAAATGCTAACGCTCTGGCTTTAAACTCTCTGTTCATGTATCTGAATAAACATAGGCAGCTTTTAAAAATCTAGGGTATCTCACAGCTCATATCAACTTTGCTTGGCCAGCACTCTCCCAAGGAAGCACTTTAGTAGAATCCAGTGGATAGTAACATATTTCAATGTCTATAAAGAGAGTCACAATATAACTGCAGGCAACCTTTCCTTTTCCCTTTTTTTTTTTTTTTTTTTTTGGTATTTATTTAAGAAGCCTTGGACAAAGGCTTTTTGAAAGCAAAAGCCTCAGCATATTTTTCTCCCTGCAGTAAACATATTATAAAAGTTTACATATTTCTATTAGTTTGACTGCCTCCAGATTTTTGGCAAGCCTTGGGACAGCTCTATTTTTAAACTCTTAAGTGCATAAAAAAACTTGATAGAGAGGGCTAAAATTTGACCAGGCAGTATTACTACCAAAATGCTTTTTCAAACACATGAACATTTCAAGGACACAAATGATTTTGCAGATCTTGGCCAAAGGAATTATTCAAACATCAAAAGTTTAAGCTACTGGTAGAAGATAATATAAAGCTGTAGAATGCCCCCCAAAACAGTTCTTACTTTCAAATAATACAAATCTGAAGTTAATCATGCACATTAAATGTTAAGGTGAATGAACCACAGAATTAAAGACTTTAGAGGACTTATAATCTCTATTAAAATTGCCTGACTAGATTACTGACTTGATTTTGCAGAAGCAAACTTACATTAAATAGCAAAGAATATTGAAAGCTACCCAGTCAGTCCCATAAGCCTTGAGAAAACACAAGGGTCACAGCAGCACAGAGCAAATCCTTGAAGCCTGGAGTGCAAGACACCCAGCTCCACAGATTTTGAAGACCTGAGGAATCTTCTTCTGTCTACTAGTTTCCCTACCTCTCTCCATCTACCATCTTGCAGGCTGCCCAACCCCTCCCTTACTGCCTCCCTTTATCTTAATTTCTCACCCCCCACCATTTAGTCTGGCTTGGCTCCCTGCCTTGTGTTAGCCCATCTGCCGGTGCTGCATCTCCTCTGCTCTCCTGCTGCCCATTGCTCAGCAGCCACCAGCATCCTCTCCAAGCAGAGTGTGAGATCCTGGGGGAACAAGCAGCATGTATAAGGGAGTGCTCAGACAATTCAGGAGGAACTATACGGCATTAGCCACAGGCCCAAGCTGACCACAGGTTCTTCCAAAGCAAAAGAACAGGAAAAACAGAGATGGCATCAACGTGACATCATTTCTGAATGATGACACCACAGCAGTGTTTGTGCTGTTCTTCCCATGATGCGCAGCAACAGAAATCAAAAGGCACGAGTGCTCAAGGTTTGAGACCTCATCACCTAAGCGAGACCCAGTCTGCACACAAAAGGGACCAGTATTTCCATGCAGCATCATTGGTAAAAATACTAGCTCTTGCCATGCAATAATTCATACTCTCAGTCTGCCACATTAGCATGTTGATGTAGGGCACTTTCAAATGCTGTTTTAATACCAAGAGCAATCTACATCATATCTAGGCTCAGGATAATATTCCCTTTTCATTTGCTGCTGCATCATTTTTTCTGTCGATCTGTTGCTTCTGTCACTTGAAGTATCAATCAGAATTCAAATATCAAACTGTAAAAAAATAAAATAAATTCATAATTACCTAAACAACAGGTCAGATTAAATATAACTTACAATTAGTTAAAAATGAGGAAAAAAAATATTCTCAGGAGTTTTTTTCCCTTTACGTTTGTTTTTTTTTTTAATAGTTTTGAATGTTAACTCTCACCTGCATGCACATCTAGCTGTAAGAACCTGGGAGTGGATGTGTCAACTTATAGTACTAGCATACCTGAAACCAGGACTCAAGAAGATTAAATCTTTTCCGGACATTTTAAAGAGATAGTATCCTAACTGTCTGGACTAACTACAACATTAGGCCAATCCATTTATTAATACTACACACTTACTCCCTTCTTAAAAGTACAACTATTTTAGGAAAAATGCTTTAATAGATGCCCTTGTCTTACACAGATTCCCAAAGCCTCAAATACATATAAAGCATATCCAAGCAAAGGATCAAATGCCTTCACTCTACAGAACTCAAAGCAGAATACTGTGTTCCTCAAGAATTTTTATGCCTTTAGAAAAGTACTGTATAGTCTATGAATCTGGTAATGTGACTAAAAACTGGAACTTTAAAGCCGTAAATTTATATTTTCCTTCTCCAAAAAGACATATTTTCTCCATTAAATTAAGATGAATTAACTATTTCACTTAGTGGGAAATTAACAACTTCCACGTGCGCAACTATAACCTTAGCTGGTTTTACAGGTGCAAGTTTTTAGTGAGGCACCACCACCAGAGAGAAACAGGAATAAAGTGGGAGGCATTTTTTGTCAGTGCAGCTATTGCCATGAACATACAACCTCAATGCACAAGCCCATAAAGGAGGTAATAGATATTAGCCTTTGCAAAAGCACAGTCGACTTCCTACAGCAAGTTTGACCACAATACCTTCTAGTTATGCATCATACCTACCATTTCTTAAATAATGCCAGAAAGCCAAGACCCAACAGTAACAATACAATCTTTTCTATTAACTGTGTGATTTTGGGTGGGCAAAATATTTTACCTACTAGCGTTAGCCTTCCATCCCACCACTGCACAGCCGGTATTATGTGAAGCATAAATGCTTCCCTCTTTCTTGCTACAGACTTGAGGTTTACTCAGAATTACGAGATCCACTGCCATAATATTGCACACTTACAATTACTAACAATAATACATCTGCCTCCATTGAATAAATTAGGAAAATGTCCTTTAAAAAAGAGGGCTATATTCTCTTTTTCCTAAAAGGTTACTCTAGCATCTACCAATACCACCACACAGATAAAAACCCCAACTACAGAAGCTGATGGAGGTACACAAGCATAAAAACAGTAAAGATATGCAACCAAACCCATCATTTTATAGTGCAAATTATTTACTTGAGTTTTTATCTGGAAGCCTGTCTATCTTCCACACAACAGCCCTGTAGGCGTTCTCGTATTTTGCTGTTCCAACCGAGACTTGTATTACGGGGTCAGATTCAACCTCGTGTAAAGCACCAAGGCATGCTCTCCTATTCATTTTTGCTTTTAGAGACTTCTGCCTTTGGAGGTTCATGGTCCAAAGTGCTTTGACCCACTGCGTGGGAACAGGAAAGCGTATCATAACATTTTCACAGTATTTCACAGTGGATAAACGCACTGGGATCAGAGCAGTTGAAGGCATGTTTATAAAAGCCTGAAGTTCAATGTATGCTCCCTGAACCACTACCACAGCTTTCACAGAAAAGGGAAGGTCTTGCCCATTATACCGTGTCCTGAAACGCATCAGTTCCAGCCTATAGGCATCTGGGGGTGTAAACTTAATAATTCGCGATTGCTCAAATTCCTGCTCTTTGACACAGTTATGGAAATGGCAATCAAGAATATCAATCCATTTCTTCTTCTCCTCCTCCTTCTCGAAGTAACGCTCATCCCTCTTTTGGAGCTCCAGGTCGTTCAGGGTTAGAAAGCAATCGGCACTTCCATTCACAAAACACAAGCAGTAAATGTGTGTGATGACGGAACTTTCTACTAGTTTTCCTTCTGCCTTGGTGACTTTCCCCCAAAAGTTATCCACTATTTCCAGAGTCATTTCTTGCTCTTCATAATTTCTCTTTTGTCTAGAAACAGTAGGAAGTTTCATGAGCTCTTCCTCGACTGTTACGAGGAAATCAGTGAAGTCGTTATAATCTGTGGTGCCCAGCTTTAACATTTGCTCAGCCTCTGGCTCATGGGTCACTTCTACTTTGGGATGATACCTCCTCTTCTCTGTGTAAGACACGCACTCAATCTTCACAGTATGGATTTTTCCTGAGACATTATAACTCTCTAATTTGGGTTCAGACAGCTTACAGTGTGGCTGTAGCTGGAATTCCTTGAAAGGTTTCTCCAGGCCCTTTTCATAATACATCTGCAATACACCTCCAGCTAGGACGCTAAGGTAAATAGGGCCCCATTGCCGAGATGACATCATGTTCTTCTTTTCGGGAATCCTCAGCATGAACGGCCATCCATCTGCTTTCCGGCTCCTGAAGAGGCTGCATGGGACAGCAGGGGAGAGCTTGTGCCATGCCTGAGTGCTGGAGCTGGGTGGGCTTCCTGCGGCATCGCAGCTATCAGCTTGCAGGTGTTCAAGCCTCTCACAGATGTAGCTGAAGGAGCCCTGGTTAAGGCTTTTCTGATCGTGGCAAGTTTCTTTGTCTTTAGGATAACAGACACTCCTGTCGAGTGCTTTGTCCTTCCTGTGTGTGCTAACATTAGCTGGTGATGGGCTGAGCGAGCATCCTTCTTTCCAAAAAGGACTGGAAAAAGCACAGTCATTCTGGAAGTATGGGAAGCACCCTGGTGCTGATGACAACTCTCCTAACTCCTCGCAGCTTCCTGGCAGATTCGGGCTTCCGTCGTCTGTTGATTTGGAGACTGAAGTCTTAATTGGATGGTCATTAGGCAAAGTGTTCAAATGAAGGCTGCTTGGTTTCTGTGAGGTTATGGATGAGCAAATCCCAGGTGATGGAAGGTTAACGTTTGATGGCCATTCAGGGATGGGATACAGAATGTGAATCCCAGGCTTTGGGATACATGGACTTCCTGGGTAGTCTCTGGTAGGTGTAGTAAGTGGAGAGTTGCTGGGGGGTCCAGGACTTAGGTAGAAGTCAACTACAGGAGACGAGAGTGGAGTGCTGCCTGTAGAAGATGACCTACTTGAAGACTCATGCACACTAGACAGATTGAGTTTAAGGCCATTTGCTTTACAGCTACTCTGATTATCAGCTGATTTCTGAGGTGACTGGAAGAGTGGCTCATCATCGAAGGTGACCCAATTTGCTGGATTTGTGGAACACATCTTGTAGGAGAAACTTGAGGCACTTGCACATGTATCACCCACAAACCATCTACAAAGAAACAACAGACATGAGCAGAAATAAACTGACTTGAAAGACAAAACAAACCCAGCCCTTATAGAAGGGCTCAAAATTTGCACTTAGTTTGCAAATCCAGTGTACTTTGTGTTTTATTTCTATAATCAGAGATAGTTGTGTAGAAGCAGATAAACTGCCTGTGAATCCCTGCTTCTCACCCGGGTTGAGGGTCGAAGGGAGATCTAAGCTTTATGGGATGCTCAGAATGTCTGATGCATGCAGCCTCTAGATCAGAGAGAGGAGAAAGTCCCACAGTGATACAGGACCACCTGCATAACACCTTCTACTATACAGCTTACGTGTAGCCTGGAATAGGGACAGAGATTTTCCACACTAGGCATCTGCTCCAGGTCAGGTTTCCCCTCCTTCCCTCCATTAAACAAAACAGCATTTTACTAAGAATGGTGCATCTTGTTCCAAAAACAAAATTAGGTGAGAAGGGATTATTTTTTGTTGTTGTTAAAAAGCTGTAGCAACTCAGTGCTGATAGCAAAGGTACACATACTACAGGCAGCACGGCAAAACCAGCCCACCAAGGTAACATATGCAGTAAGGAGCTAGTTCCTGAGGCCTCTGCAAGGCTGACATTCTCCTCCTGAGATAGACATAAGCAACAAGGCAGTTGCATGAGCATCCCCAGGTGAGAGGCAGCAGGGAGCCTGTTGTGGCCACCAGAACTGGCCCATGACTCTTCACACACTCCATGCTGCTACCTGAGGTGATTCCTGCCAGGAGCAGCATGCAGGGACTGGTGCCAGATGCCTTCTAGACCTGGCCAGGAGTCACTTCACGTCAGTTCCTTCAACCCTAAGTTACGCTCTTTGACACATTGAGGGGGTGTGGAAAAGCATTAGTCTTACAAACAAGAAAGTTAGCCCTAAGGATGAGCAATACATCCCTGTTGAAGGGTAGGCTACAAGCATCCACTGGAGATAAAACACTGGTGAAACACAAGTCAAGGCCAAGTAACAATGTACGAATTGGCTGGCGGCCTGGAAAAAATACAGGTCTTTAAACTAATTAATAAACTACACTGCATCAAAGTGGTAAAGGGCTCAGCTAGATGTCCTCAGAGCAGAACTGCAACCAGTAAATAATTAATCTTGCCTTTGCAGTTTTAAATCATGCACTGAAATGCAAATGCTCACTGTATCCTTGTGTATGTTGTCCCCAAAGTTTTTCCTCCCTGCTGCTCCTGACTGTTGAAGAAGCAAGCAATAAATGGCTAATGACTGAGGAGGAATTGAGTACAATGAAGAACCACAGGGCACATATAAACATCGTTCATTTGATAAAAAGTTATTCTTGTTATGTTGGAACATATTCATGTATGCCTGAAAGCACAAGGAAGGCAGAGTTCATATAGACAAAACCACTGGCACATACATTACTCCATTAATTAAGGTTAGATAATGATGACTTAAAGCTATTCCCTTTTGTGCACAGACAGCCATAGTTAGGCCATTTATTAATTGCATGTCACTACAGTATACAATCATGTAACCACAAAAGCCATTCTTTATCTCTAGTGTTTAAAGAATTTTTTGTTTCTAGAGATGCCAAAGTTGAGCCAAGTGAAATCTTATGCTACAAGTCATTATTTTTACCTTTTCCCCATTATTTCTTGGCCAGTTTATAGCCATTAAAAAAGTACCATAAACCGTGGCACAGTCTGCTCACTCTGCGGCCAAGCAAACAAAGGCTTGCAATGGAGAAGGACTCTGGTCCTTCGTTATTTTTTGAACTCTCGACCTTTTTGTTCAGTAAAAATATTTGCAGTATGCTAGTTATTTTATAAGCACTCTCCTCTCCACTTACAGAGAGAGAGAGAGAGAAAAGGAGCAAACAAATGACTATCATAGCTCAGACACACACAACTACCAGTGTGTCCTTCACCCACACAATCACCTCATCAAAATAAAGCGTAGCAATGGAAAAGAAAATCACAGCTATTTGGTCTTGGACTTGGTCATCGTTTTTTCCTCCCATTCCACACCCTTCTCCTCCTTACCCTCTGGTTGCCGGCACTGCCCCTTCAGCAGTAGATATTGATTATTTCAAGATTGGGAAGTTTCAAAGTTTTCAGACCTTGCTTCACCTTAACAAGCTTTGCTTTTTAACAACAGCTTATGTGATGCTAACTCGGAGCATGACTTTTTTCTGTAACAGCCAGGACCATGAGGCACACTGGTAAATAGAGAGCACTAGGAAGGAGCCTCAAAGGCTGCCATTAAAAACTCCTCCAGCATTTACAACAGATAAGCCACCTCCAACAAGAGAGAAAAACCATGCTGAGTGAGGGGAGAGAAAACCTTTCTCTCGGGCGGGGCTCCAGGGATGATGCAGGGGTACGGCGTCAAGCTCGGTGGAAATGACGGCAAGTTCAGCAGCCGGACAAGACGCAGCTATTGGGTATGACCGCAGCCACGCCGAAGGGGAAAATCACAAAACATTGGGATGCACAAGTGACAAGAAAACATAAAATGGGAATGTAAGTAAATACAAATGTTGTTTACAGTAAGGAACACATTTTGCAGCCTGTTTCTCTTTCTTGCTAGAAATGAAGTTTTTCAGTGTCCTTTATTATTTCCAGATGTTGATTTTTTTTTTTTCCCCCCAACGTCTGTTACTATTCACTTTTGAAAATGTGATGTTACAGATTATTCGGCAGGTTTTTTTCCTGCTACAAAACAAAAAGGTCCTTGAAATTCACCTGCCAAATATTTAACTTCAGTCAATAAATGTCTATGAAGAAAACCACTTCTGCAGATGGAGCTCTCATCTGCAGTTACAAAAACCGCAGTGTACCTGTCAGAGGCTGTAGCTTTCACCTTTTATTATTGTTCCAGATATGTGTTTGGTTTTTTTTTTTTTTTAAAAAAAAAAAAAAAAAAAAAAAAAAAAAAAAAGAGCTGATTCTAACAGAAACACCCATGCGAGTAGTAAGTGTTGAAATAGCAGTTCCTCTACAATTGCTCACTGATCCCCAAAACTGACTACTAGGAATGGAGGGAAAAAAAATCCAAATGGATCTTTAAAAGCTTTTTGTATAATGTCATGCTAATAAAAGGAAATGCACCTTTTGTGTTATGGGCAGCACCATTCATCTAGAATTTTAAAAAAGCAAAATAATTAGTCTTATGCTATTTTACATAGATTGTTCTCTGATGCTTTTACATCTGCACAACACAATAAAGTGATCCTTTCTCTCAAGTTCTTTTTTGTTCTAGAAAGTGCTCCAAATTCCTTCTTACAAATGAGGATGTTCTTCCTCAAAATTGAAGTAAACTCAGGCTTCAGAATAAATGTGTTTTGCCTTCAGAAGGCTCCCAGGGGACCCACGTAAACGTAACCCAAATGTTTTGGGTAAGAGAAAAACGATACAAGATGCCACTGACCTCCATTACCACATGTTATGCGGCCCATAACATTTAAATTACAAGCATGTGTGGTATCTTGTTCAGATATGCGACAGGAAATACCATTTTTAGAATCTTGAAACTGCAAACAAAAAAATAACAGTTGATCCTGAATGCATCGATTCCAGTGAACCCAAAAGCTGCGACTCATCTCAATTCATCCTCTTCTGCCCCAAAACAATCCCCCATTTATCAGATTAACTCAGTCCTTCATCATTTAATGAACAGTGATTGCGGCTTAATTTCTTCATTTTAATACCTCGAGGATGTAAGGAAGATAAATCCTATCCTATTATTGAGAGATTTTACAGGCTGTAGATATTACCAGGTCCTTTGTTGCTTCAAAAATCCCAGATCAAATCTGCAGCAAAAATACTGCTCAACTTTTGTGCCTTGCTGGGGGATACCATTATCTCTTCCTACAGTAAAACAGTAATAATAACTTCCTACTTGCTCCAAGGTGCAATTCAAGCTATTGATTTTGTTACTTTTAATCCAGATACCGCTTGGTCCTCACTAGCTGAGGATGCTGACTTGTCATGCAGCGATGTCCCCCACCACCCTGCTGCAGTGGCCTTGCATTGCCTCCTACCCAGCGGGGATGCAGCAGCCTCTGAACCAGCACGACTGAACCCCCTGAGCAGCTCACTCCCAGGGTCTTCCCTAACATTTGGCACCAGTTAAAAACCATAAGCACATCGCTTGGTTTTAAACGCAAAAGTCCTTTTTTTAAATAGTGGAGGAGCATGGGGTCCGCTAATGGGGAACGGCAGGAAAACGCCTCCCTTCTGCAAAGTGTAAAGCAAGTAAATGAATGTTTAATAGACAGTACTCACATTCCAAAATACACAGAAAAGCATAATTTTATAAATGCATTCCTTATTGCTTCTCTAGCTCCAGAGGCCATCACGGCTTCAAAACTGTTAAGGTATACATTCTCTAAATAAATTCTTTTTGTAACACCTGAGCACGTATCTTATGTGTGTCACTTGCATGGTGGTATCTCACTGGGCAAATATCAACCTCATGAATTGTTTCAAGCTCAAAAAACCCCAGATTTACGTACACACAGTGTGACAAAACAGTGAAATAATCCCTTCAAAATGAGCTGAGCTCTTCACAGGAGCTACTCTGTATACAACGCCTGGCCGTTATATTTCCACCCTTCCAGAACAACTGTGGACCCCATGCACTACAATCCGTCAATTTTATTTCCAGGAACAACATCATCTGTTGCACAGAGGCTATATAGAAATTTAAAGCAAAACTGCATACTGTGCACACTGTAGTGAAGCTGTCCCATACAATACCATGTGAGTTGTTACCGTTTCTTGTACAAATATATAGACAATTCTTCAAGCATTTTGCCATAAAGTGTAACAGTCTCACAGGAAAGTACAAATTCTCTGCAGTTTAAGCAATAAAGCACATATGGTATATAAAATACACTAACTGTTTGTAAGCCCTTGTGATATCCAAGTAAAATATGGCGGATTTATCTCTGTATTTTACAGCCATATTCTTTGTATCACTGTTTTGTTTATTACTTAACCATGCAAAAAAACTCAAAGCATACTTTCTACATAAAATACTGTTTATGTTGATTTGCCTCAAATTTTATTTTGAGACTACATATGGCTGCACTTTTATTTAACTCTGCTCTACCTCTCCTAGACATACACCAAAAAATAAGTTCTCCAACCTATACCTCTGAAATAAACATAAGCAAAAGGCACGACTGATGGGAAATAGGAATTTCGTGGCTTTTGCTTGTATTTGGGATATACACATGGATTAAGTCTCCCACTGCATTACTCATTTCATTACTTCTAGAAAACAGGGAACTGGTGTAATAGTCAAAAATATACACTGACTTCAAAGTGTAATGTGAACTTACATTTACATTGCTCACTCTCTGGGGCATAGGCACAGCTGGGAAAAGTTTGGAGCTTGCAGCTAATATGTTTAATTTGGAATTCCTTACTCTTGGCTCTGAGAGCTGGAGGATTTAAAGCTTTCAGCTTTTGACAGCGTGCATGTCCCCAGAGCAAAGGCAGGCGTAACTCATGCCAATGCCTCTCGCTATTACTTGTTTCTGCCTTGAGTCAAAGGGGACTTTACAAATAAGGTGGCTGGTACTTGCACTCGCAAGCATGAAAAAACTAACATTTTTAAGGGCATCAACACAAATCACAGTATGTTCCCAAGTGGAAACAACACTTACTTTCCTCACTGGGGAAAAGGATACGGCAGAGGCTGAAGCTGCCTCTGGTGAGGATGCTGTCACACAGTTTGGGACATGGGGGACTCCCCACCACAAGGCCAAGTCCTGACAGCTGTAGCACCAACGCTCTCTGCACACTAGGAAAGCATCCAGCACTCAAGAGGGATGCTGCACAGAGGCACCAAATGAAAGAGGCCTGAAGAAATGCCAGCTCCTCTGCCTCTCAGAGTCACATCTCATGCTTTAAAGGCCATAAGCAGTATGAGATTCACATGGGGGGAAAAAACCTGTGGGAAGCTCTCAAATGAAAAATGAAATAAAAGCAGCACTGCTGCCAGATTCACATCTCTGCTAACTATTCTAGCCTGCTCAGCTGTGGCTGAAGTGGGTCTTCCCCAAAGAAGTAGCTTTTGCTCACAACAGAAGGAGGTTAAATGGTGAGGACATTTCAGTTTATATGAAAATTTAGCACAGCTATTCAAAACAATTCCCATCTTTGCCAAGAAATAACCACCCAAACCTTAGCTGCTGTGGACTGCAAATAAACTCCTTTCCATGTCTAGAACCATTCTAGGAGACCTTCCCTAACACTCAGATGTGAAGTCATTTCAAAGCTGCCTCAAAAAGACAACAAAACAGCATGCATGACCAGTCTCGAGTGTAACACGATCTGCTTCAACCGATCGTCCCACATACTGTAAGCTCCGATTCCCACACCCTCCCTTGCCCCACTCCAGTGGTCATACCAACATGAATGAGGCAGACCAGCTTGCTCCTTCAATATTTTCTTAGTTGGGAATAGAAATCAAGGCAGGAAAGCCTAGAGAAAATATTTGACTGGAAGAGCCTGTAGGATTTTATGGGCACGTGCCAAAGATGCTTTCTACAGGAACTGAGAGATTTTCACAAGTCACTGCACCACAATCACCTGGGATCTACATCACCATTCCTCTCAAGGCTTTTCTGCAGAGTTTATTATCATGAATATAACTTTCAGAATGGATAAACTAACTAGAATAAATTAAAAATAAATTAATTAAACTAAAATATAAATCTAATGTAAGTGCCACTAAGAAAGATAATGGACCAGAGACCTGAAGCCACTCTTGGAAGTCACTCGAGAGTTTTGTCATCAGTGCATGCAGCCAAGCACTGAGCTGCAGAAAAACAATAGTAGTCCTCTTACCCTAAAGGCCACCTCAACCACCTGAAAGAACGATAAAGTTACTTGCAGCAACTCCTATATTGCTTGCTCTGACTTAGCCAGTATGCAGACACATTACAAAACACATTAATCAATGAATGCAGCAGCACGGAGAAGTTAATCAAAAACCAATCTCCAGCTACGTAACGTTCAAGGATCACAGTGCTTACAATGAGCACTTTCTAACATTAAAAAAAAAAAAAAAAAAAAAAAAAAGTTTTCCCAATCCACAGCTACATGTAACTATTTTGTTTCAAGAAGATTCAATCACATCTTTCATCACACATTCAACTGTGGATTAATTTTGGTACATAAAAGTGATCCAAAAACAGGTACACTTTATAACCTGTTATTTTTTTAAAATGTAACAGAAGTGAACAAAAAAAGACGCTTATCTCTGGTTTATCATCAGGTCTAACCACAAGAATGGTAAGCACCAGTACCTGACACAAGTCTAAGCATCTTTCTCAGGTCCATCAGTTCTAACTCCTCAGTCAGTTCCTCCAGAATAGACTCAGAAAACAGTCCCATCCCTAATTTCTGGCATTTTCCTGTTCATGGGGTGGATTCCTATCCCAGAAGGTGACAGACTGTGCCAGGTCTCAGTAACGTATGTCTGGTAGCACGTGTTTCTGTGCCTCTTTGGACCCCAGGTTTGTAACTGAGAAGGCAGGATGGGGCGTGCTCGTGCTGATGCACCACTGGCAAACAGTGGATGGTCAGGAAAAACATCGAGGACACAAGCTGCTATCAAAGGCAGCAGGAGCATTTCTGCTAACTCGAATTAAACCACAAAATATTATACTGAACATCTTTAGCAGAAGAAAACTATTTTCCGAGAATAAATAATAAAAAGCATGATCAAATCAGTATTAGATACTCAGTGTTTTTATTTTCTTCTTTCCTGGACATTGCAGTGCCCTCTGTGACACATCACTTGTGTGCAAGATATGATTGCACCTTCTCGAAACAAAATACTTATGTGTAGCTGTGGATTGGGAAAACTTTTTTTTTTTTTATGTTAGAAAGTGCTCACTGCAAGCCTGTGATCCTTAAATAGTTTATAGCTGGAGGTTGGCTTTTGATTGACCTCTCTGCGCTGTTGCACTTCCTATTATCTGGTTAGACAAAATATGTAAATTCTTTTTAATTCACTTCACGGTGCATATGCGTGTTTCCCTTGTGTATACAACACACCTCTCCACAGGGCCTTTCTTCTTCCTACAAAAGAGACCCCCCAGTTAGAAGACAAACAGGGGAGAAGAGGCTGAGGCTGCTGGGCTGTCAAGCTTCAGGAGCAGCGCGGGTGCACTCCTGAAAGGTGCTTCTGTTCCTGCTCCCAGGAACTGCTGGGAGCAGGAACTTCTGTTCCTGCTCTTCAGTTTACTCAGCCAGTCCTGCTTTATCCTCTCTGAATCACACTCCTCTTCAGCATTACCATAGTGACTGCATAACTTACACCGGGTAGGCAGATTTCAGAGAGCCAATGGACAGTTGCAGAAGACTCTCATGTAAACTGTTTATTGACACTAGCTGACATTTTTACTGTACAGAAGGTTTGTTTTGTTGCATTTTTTTAATTTAAAAAAAAAAAAAAAAAAAAAAAAAAAAAGAAAAAAAAAAAGAAAAAAAAAAAGAGGCTTGAGTGCTTGGGCACATGGATCACATCAAAATATTAAATATTAAACTGGTCATGGCCAGAAACAATTTAAACCTGGTCCTCTGCAAGTGTTTGCAGTGTCCAAGGGAAACAAAGGATGCAATGCCACAAATACATGATGCAAAAGTACATATCAAAAACTCTTTGCCTCTAATCTCAGCAGTGAATAACAAGAAGTAGGGAAGCTAATATAATTATTTAGGATATTCATTGAACAACATATTACATTCTCCTGTTTGTTTGTTTTTTTTAAAAATATCTCATGCCGTAGGGCCCAACAAACAAGTGTTAGTACCTTCCCAGATACTAATGCATGACATAAGATTTGCAGAGCTCTTCTACCTGAAAAGTACTGCCTGACAGCATTAGTAACATGACAGACCAACTCTGACAGACCAACTCTCCTAAACTGCAGCATACTCCCCTTCTCCCTGACTTAAAGCCTTGTAAGAATACTAGCACTGATGAGAAGGAGAGTCACAATTAAATTATTCTTTGTTTATTTGGATGGAGATATTTTTAACAGCTACTGATGACAGTCATGCCAGAAAGTATAATTCATTACACAGTAACCCAAAAAAGCCTCATTTGGATTCCTAGCCTGGCTTTCTGAAGTAAAAGGCTTTATCTCATATTTATACCAATCTAAAACAGAAGAAAAGGAGTGGTGGACTAGAGGCATCTTGTTTACCAAAACATGAAGTAAAACCCTGTCCATTACAGTGCATCTCTATTCATGTAATTGGGTGCATTTCATGTCGGTGTTAACATTCACACAGAGGAAAACTTAAAAGTTTGCATTACTTTGCTGTTTAGGGATCTGGATTTGGGCAGCCCTATCAAAAAGCTGGGCCATTAAACTTACAAAGCCCAATCATTTTTAAAGTGATAGAAAATCACATTCTTAGACAGAGATGGGAAGACAGAGAATAATCAAATCTGAGCATGAAACAATGACCTCATACCTGCCTTCGGGCAGAATTTCCCTTTGGTGAGATTTACAACTCCAGTCACACTCTGTTGTACAACTATCCTTTGTTGTACAAACTACTTCTGTGCTCAACTGCAGCTAGTTACAGAGTGAAGTGCTAAGCTTCTCCTCTCCATGTGGCTACCCATACATATAGTCAAGAAAGCAGATAATCTTTTTTCATAATATTTTCTTGCTGTAGGTGTGGTTTCAGTGCATTAGACCAGGCAACTCAAGATTTTATCTTCAGCTACCCTTTTTTTCTTCTCTTACAGACATAGAGTCTCAGCCTCCAGACTCCAAAACTTCTGTTCCCTCCTCCCTCCTCCCCAGTCAGTCATTACCACTCTCCCAAAAAAAGCTAAGTCCTGTTTTCAGAGAAATCAGTGTGGGTTTCTAGTGTGCTCCACCTCAGTTAAAAAAAATAAAAATAAAAATTGGGGAAGGTAAGTGTAGACTTCTGTAACTTAACTTTCTCTGGGCTCCCCCAAATACCTTAGTCAGCATTTTCCTAGCACATTTCAGAAGCTCTCTTATTTGCCACAAGTATCAGAACACTTACATCTTTTAAAAAAAAAAAACCTTACTGAAAAGTCCCCCTTCAGTGAACGTTTATTTAAAGCCAGAAAGCGAAAACTTTCTATATTCTTTCTCATCCACACTATGCTTGAAATACCATCTCCAGAGTTTGCTCTGAGGCTATATGGTAAGTGCAATCTAATCATTTCAGCCCCATGCTGCACATCCTTCTGTATCCGCTCCGGTTGTTTTCCCAAAGCCCTGCACCCCGCTGTATGTATCAGAGAGATTTCTGCAGCAATGATTTCAAACACTGTGAGCCTACATGCATAGTTTAACATCATCAGCTGAACCACTAGAAAATATGAGAAAGGCTCCAGGAATTCGTTTCACTTCAAGTATTAAATAAAAAAACTTCTCGATCGCCCCAGTCTCCTCCCTAACACGGCAAAAGTCATGGGAACTTGATCCTGCGGGATGCCCGTCACAAAAACCCCACCGATTTCCGCAGCGGTTCAAAGCTCCGGGTACCCCACGCAAAGCCATCCCCTCTTCACCACTTCTACTTTAAAAGAAACAGGAAAGGAAAATAAGAAAATAAGTAAAAAAAAAAAAAAAAAAAAAAAAAAAAAAAAAAA